ACATACAATGGTTTCAAATTCTTAGATTTTAGATATATGCTTCTTTAATAAAACTCACCTTTATTTTTTTCTAGAATCCGAAAATCAATTAATATACAGGGTGTTCCAATAGAAAAAAAAACAAAACTTTGATGTGTAACTTTTTTTGGGTACACCCTGTATAATTCTATATATTTTTATAAAATGCTTTTTCAGTTAACCTACATATGCTGCCAAAATTTCATTTCGATATAAACTACCGTTCTCCTTGGAGCTTTCGCGTCGTATGAGACCCTGTACAGGGTGTCCCACTAAAATATTAGCCGTAGGGCCTACGGAAGAAAATATTTATAACTAAAGGGGCTATGAGAAATTGCTGGAAATTATTTTGAAGTTTGTAAAACGGCCGCTAGAGGGCGTAACTGCTATGGAAAATAAGAAAATAGAATTTTTACAGAATTTTGCCTAGATAATGAGTATTATAAATAATAGCTTCATAATCTTCACTAAATTTTGGATTTTTTTTTTATTAGAACCATTTTCCCCTATCTGCTAAAATAAAGTGGTGGGGGAAGGTTAGATCTATTTTTATTTAAATGTTATTAACTCCGGACTAGATGATCAGTATCCAACAAAGGCTCGTTTAAAAGAGCGTTTCTTACTCTATATTATACCATAAAAATAATAATAATAAGGTTTTGAACGTAGAGGCTAGGGGGCGCTTTCTTACAATTTAACAAACATAGCGCGTTTTTTCAAAAAAATTAAATACGGTAGTATATGTAATTTTACCTGATAGTAAAGAGTAGTAAAAGCTTAAAAAGTCAGCGAAAACCTTATCTTGATATCTTAATTCAAACCGAAGGTATTAGCAAAATTATAATAAATACCAAAAAATAAGCCCTTAATTACCAGATTTTTAGAACACGATATCAGTAGCCCTCTTGATTATGCCAATTCGAAAAAAAATAAGATAGAAACAGTTAGTTTATTTTAAAATCGACGAAATACCAGAATACCATAATACCAGATGTATTAATGTCTAATAATTAAGATATTAATAACAGTGAACAAGAAACGATGATTCAGTGAAGTCATGGTAGGTTTTGGAAAAAAGTTGTTTTGGCGTAATAGTATAAATGTCAAATTGTTATTAGATAGCCAACAACTTCAACTACTTCAAATGATAAAGGCATTTTGAAAAGGCAATTAAAAGAAAAAAAACGCTGCTAAAACTATCAAAATGTTGATCTAATAACAATTTGACGTTTATACTATTACGTCAAAGCAAGTTTTTTCCAAAACCTACGATGACTTCACTGAATCATCGTTTCTTGTTCACTGTTATTAATATCTGAATTGTTATTATTAGACATTAATACATCTGGTATTATGGTATTCTGATATTTCATCAATTTTAAAATAAACCTGTTTCTATCTTATTTTTTTGTTAGAATGGGCATAATCAAGATGGCTACTGATAGCGTATTGTAAAAATTAGGTAAATAAGGACTTATTTTTTGGTATTTATTATAATTTTGCTAATATCTTCGGTTTGAAAGAAGATATCAAGATGCGGTTTTCGCTGACTT